AGGATGGCAACATTTGTGCATTATTGATCTTTTGATAGGATGTAGTTGGTTTTGTTAGTCAAACTTTTGACCCTTCCTTATCAATCCAAGTGTATAAATTACAAAAAAACATGAATTTATTTTTTTGATTATTTTGTATTCATATTTTACCCCTTTAAAATAATTCACGTGCGCTGCACGTGTACACTAACTAGTAATACTAAATAAGGAATTCTATTAGAACTTAATTTAATGATTTAATTTGTTGATTTATTAATTTATTATGTCAATAAATTAAATTAAAATTTTAAATCTAAATAATATTACATAATTGATACTAAATAATCAAGTTTAATGGAATCCATAGAGAAAGAAAATCCCATCCACAAGATGACAATTTGTCAGCTACGATCGTGTTCTTGGCAGGATGTCTGATTTTTTCATTTTTTTTATAATTAATTAATTATTCAACCCTGTTATTTTGAAACTTAATTTATTTAAATATCAGATTTTTAAATTCATTTATTTATCCTACAGTTGTGTTTAAAACACATCTTTCAAAAGAAATGATAATTTGATAAATAAATTTTAAAAAAATGATAGATACTTAACTCAATTTTTTTTTGGACATGTAACTATCGAATCAAGACGTTGAGTTCAAATCACAAAAATAATCAATTTGTATTCTTATGCTTTGTTTGGTAAAAATGATGGAAAGTAGGAAGGATATACTCTCTATCTTTGAAAGATAGAAAATAAGAATGATATACTTTCTTTTCTTTGTGTTTGGTTGGATGAATGAAAAATAAAAATAATTAATTTATTTTTTATTGTTTTGTGTTGACTAAGATTAGGAGAGACAATCAAGTCGTATTGAATCATAAAATTATGAGACTTTTATATTTTTTGTTCCTGTGTCAAGTCATTTTCAAGTTCGTGTCATTATGTTGAGTCGAAAATTTTCACCTTCAGGTCAAATGAAAAAATATTTTTTTAATTTAAAAGTTTTATTTTTATTTTAATTTTTTTAAAAATATATATATAAAAATACATTTAGTGAGTTGGAAGGAAAATTAATTCATCTATTTTTTCATCCTTCTTATTTTCCTTCCTTATCAAATATAATATTTTATTTATCCCTCTAATTTTTTATCTTTTCAACTTTTTATCTTTCAATTTTTCTATCATACCAAACTGAGGAGTACTACGAAAATATGGTACAATGAATTGTCCTTTTAACTGCACAAGCCAAAATCCTTCTGCCAGTCATGTAGCAAGGGGGTAACACTACTATACCGGCATCCTATTTTTCGGTATGATATTAAAAAATAAGTTGGCTTGTGTATATGACACGTTACTCTTTAAATTCAACGCAACTAGTTGTTTTCGGTACCTGGCCATAAGTCATCCAATAGAGTTGTTCTTAACAAAAAAATTTATATCTCATCCAAAAGAGTTATATCATATCCAATAGAGTTATACTCACATCCAAAAAATTGTTACCATCCATTAAACTTGTACCGAATAGAGTTGTATCCTATAACCCAATTATTAATATTAGTTATATATTTAAAAAAAATTATTTTACTTTGCCCTGTGTATTTTATCTTCAAAAAAATAATAGACGCTTCTAATTAGGTAATGTGGAATAAAAATATTACTTGAAGGTAAAATATAAAGAACAAAATAAAAATATTGTTATACTTCATGGGTGTAAGTGTAATTTACTTATGATGAATTAAGACCGGTTGTGGGAATGGAGGATCGATCTTGATATTACATACTACACTTTTATCCTTTAATATTATACTTTTAACCTTTTGATATTATAATTTATCAAATTAACATCTAAAATCATTTAATAACTATTCAATTTATCAAATCAAAATCAAACATGCAATTTTATCCAATTAAAACTCAATTCATCAAATTTACACAAAATTAACATTCAATTCTTCAAATCAACTTTTAATTTTACCTAATAAACATATAATTCATTAAATTAATATTAAAATTCAACTAATAAACATTTAATTCATAACATTCAATCTCATTCAATTTATATTCAAATTCATTCAATTTATAAAATTAACATCGAAAGTCTTTAAAAAAAGATTTTTTTTTTAACGGAACGATGGATGGTATTTAAAAATCAAATTACACCTCATTACACGAAATAAAATATTTAGAATAATAGAAGCAATGCATGCATGATACAAGAATTAAAGAAATAATAAAATTATAAAGCATGCCATTCAATTATAAAGGGCTATTCAATAATAGGCACATGGGTACATCACGCAAAAAACTAAAATGAAAATTTTCTATTATTTAAATTTTGTGTAGTTATTTATTGTTCTCTTCACTTTTTATTGCTTAAACTTAATTATTTTGTTGTTAAATAGAGGTGTACTTCAGTATTGGTAAGTATTTTATGTGTGTAGAGCTTGTTTAATAGATAATGTCTATACTCGAAATTAGTTACACAGATTTTGGAGTCAATTACGTTTGTTGTTTTGCATTTTTTTAGAGGAAGATCTGCCCTTATTTTGCTATGTTATGTCCAAAGTTCCTTGGTCAACTAATTTTGCTCTATCTTGTTCTTCAACAGAGGTTGGTTGTGATATTAAGAAACGCATTAAAAATTCGGTTACATTTTGTCAAAAGAGTATATTTTTATAGCAGTATTCTTTGATATATGACTTTTGCCTATTGAAATTTTGAGTTATATGTCTCTTTTCAACTTTAATTTTAAAGTGAAAATTATTAAATTAACAAAATCATTACATTTTTATGCTTCTATGTATAACCTTGATCAAAATCTTTCATATTTTCATATCTCTATATTATAACATTACTTCTGGAATCAAAGTGAAATTCTTGGTTTCATTATCTTATATATGACTTTGTAGTTTAGAAAGATGAATAAGAGGGTTAGAGATTGTATAATCACCATTGACATAGAATAATGGGTTTTGATATGTTCAAATCTTAGACTACTCCTTGTTAACAAAAAATTTCAAGTACAAGTTGAATTTAACAATATTTGAAACTGGGAATCAGTTTCAATAAAAATATGATTTAACCTTCATAGAAGGCTCCCTGACCGAAGGGATCTTAAGATGGCAAAGAAGATCCAGACTAGTAGGAGTATCCACAAATTCTTCAAATTATAATGTAATGAAATTTAATTCTTCAACTTAGCATTCAATCACATCCAATTAATATTTAATTCATAAAATTAACACGAAATTAACATTCAATTCATTGAAATTATATTCAAATTCATTAAATTAACACTCAATTTATCAAATTACATTGAAAATCATCAATAAAGGTTTAATTTAACAATCAACATCAAAGTAACATACAGTTTCATTCAATAAACATTTAATTTATCAAAACAATACCAAATTAATATTCAATTCAACAAATTAACATTCAATTTCATTTTATAACATTTAATATTTAATTTATCAAATTTATACCAAATAAACATTCAATTCATCATATTAACATCAAATTAAAATTTAGTTCATCAAATTAATATTTAATTCATTAAATTAACATTCAATTCATAAAATTAAAATAAAAAATCATTTAATAAAGATTTTTTAAATGTTAATTTGGTATTAATTTGATGAATTAAATATTAATTTGATGAAATTGATTGTTAGTTTATAGTATTTTGGGTTGGGATAGGAAAAAATGAAAATATTGTTATAGTTTAGGGGTGTAAGTATAATTTAAATTAAGACAGGTCCTAGGAATGGTTGGATCGATCCTGTTTATCATATTACACTTTATCCCTTTCATATTACACTTTGACACTTTTATACTTTATCCCTTCTAAAAAAAATAAGTTGCAGAGGTTTAAATTTATTAAATTAATATTTAAATTAACTATTTAACATTTAATTCATTAAATTAATATCAAACTAACATTCAATTTTTCAAATCAACGCTAAACTAACATTCAACTCATCAAATTAACACAAAATTGATATTCAATTCATTTAATTCGCATTCAATCCTATTTAATAAACATTTAATTCATCAAATTAACCTATCATTCAATTCCATCCAATAAAATTTTAATTTTTCAAATTAACACTAAAGTAACATTCAATTTATTCAATATATATTCAAATTCATCCAATTTTCACTCAATTCATCAAATTAACATCCAAAATCATCTAATAAAAATTAAATTTATCAAACCAACACCAATGTAATATAAAAATTCATTCAATAAATATTTAATTCATCAAATCAATACCAAATTAACATGTCGTATAATAAACATTCAATTCATCAAATTGAGATTCAATTTCATCCAATTAATAATCAATTCATCAAATTAACACCAAATTAATATTCAATGCATCAAATTAACTTAACATTCAATTTCATTAAATAAATATTCAATTCATCAAATTAATACTAAACTAAAAGCAATATATTTTTTGAATTCGGATTTCATGAGGGCCAGATGAGAAAGGGGACCGTCTTGGATGTGGACCAGCCTATTAAGGGGAAGAGAGCTGCTAGCTAAGGGTCTCAAATGGCAGGCTTCTAAAGATTGGGATTTAAATGCTCTCCGGAAGTTTACCACTGCAGAAGAATTTCGAGCCATCGCCTCTATTCCGGTCTGAAAAGCAAGTGGACGGGATAAGAGGATATGGCACTTTGATGTTAGGGATTATATAGTTAAATCAGGATACAAGGAGGCGAAAAGCGCAAAGATTTCCACTACTCCTCAGGGAAGCTGTTCTTCCTCACGGCTACATCCTAATTTATGGAACATCATTTGGAGTATGAAAACAACAACAAAGGTTAGACACTTTTGGTGGAGGGTATGCTCAAATGCTCTTGCGACGAAGGAGAATCTCTATAGAAGAAAGTGCAGCTCCTCCCCTCTTTGTCTGATCTGTGGTAAAAAGGTTGAAACTATAGAGCATCTTTTATTTGGTTGCGAATGGACACACAATGTTTGGTTTGGATCGGACTTGACCCTAAAAATGGAGAGCCAAAATATTGTATCAGCGAAATTTTGGACATCATATTTGGTGGAGAATCTGAACTCTTTTCGCCGTGCGGTGGAGGTTCTTAGTAAGGTGGCGTTTATTGGGTGGTCTATTTGGAGAATGAGGAATGATGCAATATTTCAATCGACTCTCCCCAATCCTGCAGTCGCACTAAAAAGGGCGCAATTCGGTTGGAAAGAATTCAATTCTCAGCTTTCGTTTCGGAATCGGCAGTTCCTTCCTCCATCTCTGAACCATCCTGTCTTGTGCTGGCGAAGACCTCCCACTAGCCTTGTAAAGGCGAATTGTGATGCTGCTTTTGATGAGTAGATGAAGCGGGCAGCAATTGGTGTGGTTATCAGATGGTTCATCAAAATTATATTCAAATTCATTAAATTAACACTCAATTTATCAAATTACATTGAAAATCATCAATAAAAGTTTAATTTAACAAATCAACATCAAAGTAACATACAATTTTATTCAATAAACATTTAATTCATCAAAACAATACCAAATTAATATTCAATTCAACAAATTAACATTCAATTTCATCTAATAACATTTAATATTTAATTTATCAATTTATACCAAATAAACATTCAATTCATCATATTAACATCAAATTAAAATTTAGTTCATCCAATTAATATTTAATTCATTAAATTAACATTCAATTCATCAAATTAAAATAAAAAATCATCTAATAAAGATTTTTTAAATGTTAATTTGGTATTAATTTGATGAATTAAATATTAATTTGATGAAATTGAATGTTAATTTAATCAATTGATTGTTAGTTTATAGTATTTTGGGTTGAGATAGGAAAAAATGAAAATATTGTAATAATTTAGGGTTGTAAGTATAATTTAAATTAAGACCGGTCCTAGGAATGGTGGACAGATTCTATGTATCATATTACACTTTATCCCTTCAAAAAAATAGGTTTTAGAGGTTTAAATTCATTAAATTAACATTTAAATTAATTATTTATCATTTAATTCATCAAATTAATACCAAATTAACATTCAATACTTCAAATCAACCCTAAACTAACATTCAACTCATCAAATTAACACAAAATTAATATTCAATTCATTTAATTCGTATTCAATCCTATCTAATAAACATTTAATTTATCAAATTAACCTAACATTTAATTCCATCCAATAAAATTTTAATTTTTCAAATTAACACTAAAATAGCATTCAACTTATCAAATATATATTCAAATTCATCCAATTTATACTCAATTCATCAAATTAACATTCAACTTTTTTGGGGTTAGGGGTTCCTGGGTAGAGGTTCCAATTCTTGGGGGAAAATGTTTCAACTTTTTTGGGTAGGGGTTCTAACTTTTTTGGGGTGAGTTCTAACTTTTTTGGTTTGGGGTTCAACTTTTTCAAGTAGGGGTTCCAACTTTTTGGGTAGAGGTTCCAACTCTTGTAGGAAGGGTTCCAACTTTTTTGGAGGTTCCAATTCTTGGAGTGGGTTCTAACAATTGGGGGAGGGTTCCAACTTTTTTTGGTAGGGGTTCCAACTTATTTGGGTAGAGGTTCCAACTCTTGAGAGTAGGGATTTCAACTTTTTGGACAGGGGTTCCAACTTTTTTAGTTAGGGATTCTAATTTTTTTGGGTAGAAGTTTCAACTTTTTCGGTTGGTGTTTCAACTTTTTGGGTAGATGTTCCAACTCTTGAGGGGAGGGATTCCAACTTTTTTTGGATGGGTTCCAACTTTTTTGGGTAGAGTTCTAATATTTTTGGTAGGGTTTTAACTTTTTTGGAGTGAGTTCCAACTTTTTTGAGTAGATGTTCCAACTATTGGGGGCAGAAGTTTTAATTTTTTTAGATAGGGTTCCAACTTTTGGGGGTTTAACGGTTGGAGGAGGGTTTCAATTTTTTCAGGTAGCGGTTCCAACTTTTTTGGGTGAGGTTATTTGCCAAGTCCTACTCTTTTCTATTACGGTTTAGCAGGTAATTGGTATCTCACTTTTCAAACTGATCAACTGTTATAAAAATAGAAAAATTACATCAATAGTCCAAATAAAATATCGGTAACGTACCGAAAAGAAAAATTTGGTATTGTAATTTGACCCCAAGCAAGGGGAGTTGTTTCAGAGAGACAAACACCTGAAAAATTGGCAAGGAAGAAACTGAACTTTAAAGAGGAGAGAGAGAGAGAGAGAGAGATGCATTCGGCTATGGAGCATGCTAGCTATGTGACATTGGTGGGCCTGCAGTGGGATAGACCAGTAAGATTTTCACCTTTCCACATACGAAGGCCAACTATTTGCATTCTTCATGGGGTTAATTGATACAGGGTTATAATTTGAGAGGTAATTACGTAATTTACTCATCTTTAACGAGGGTTGCCTAAAACATGCTTGAAGAAGGTACGTGACCAACATACTCCACACAATTTTCTTTGATCATTGTGAATTTGTTTGAGATCATTTTATGTTTGCTTTTGACGTTTGTGTAGTTCATGTTCAAAGTTTATTTACATACGGTATCAAAGTTTAGGTTGGATAGATTTATATATACCTTGCTTTTATCATTTTTATTTTATTAATTGTATAGAGTATTTAAGCATTGACTAATTTTGGGCACATGCAACATAAATTTTTTTATTCTAGAATTCATTTATGTAGTTTTGTTAGGCAAAACTATGGCGTGATAGTGAAACATTTGGTACTTTTTTGGATATGAAAATAAATTGTATACAGTTTAAAATTTTTTTGGGTCCCATTTTTAGGAGAAATTTTGGCCAATTTTTAAAAAAATATATTAGAGTTTAACTTTTTGTCCAATGAATTTCTAATTTTTACTCATTATTGTTTTATTTTTGGTTACGTAACATCTTTGGACAAAGACAAAACATCAATTGAACCAAATCATCTTGATTTGCTTCAGTTTTGCTGGGATATTTTACTTTTGTTGTAGTAATTTTATACGAGTGTTGATATTGAAGTTAATTAAATGAGTATATTTAGAATTGGGGGTTGGATTTGTTGTACGCATTTATATAGATAAAGTTGAGTTTTTTTTATTGTTGATATTACTATATTGCGGTAGTTGATAAGTTGTTTTGTTAAGATAGAATTAATTGAATTGGGTCGTGATTTTTTTAAATTCATATGTTTCTTCAAAATAAGCAAATTCTATTAAGATAGAATTAATTGAATTGGGTCGTGATTGTTTTAAATTCATATGTTTCTTCATAATAAGCAGATTCAACAAATTATGTACACAAGTTGATTTTTTTTTTCTGTGTTCTCTTTTTAAAGTAAATTTTGTCAATTTTTTTATATGGATTGTTGATCTATATTGATTTAAAATGGTGTAACTAAAAAAATGAAAAATAAATTGCTACTTGAAATATTTGTATGTTGTTCAAAATTTTTGTATTACATGATTAGTGTTCAATTTTTTGTTACACAATGTCTTTGTTTTGTCTATTTTTTTTTTTTTAAAAAGTGGTTGTCGTGATTTGAAATAGTAGGCTCTATTTTTTGAGGAGCTCGATTTTCATATTATATTACAAGAACAATAATGAGTGAGTAAATAAATAGATAATTGTACGAAAGATTCATATATTAGAGGATGAAAAATAATATACGATGAACAAAAAAAGTAAAATCGAACAAGAAAATTAAAATAGAAAAGAAAAATGAATTTGTTAAATTTGTTTAATCCTTTTACATTTAATTTGTTGTAAATATTTAGTTTATACTACACTCATTTTAAGAAAAACATGCAAAATTTATTTTTCATTTCATTTCATTTCTAATTTCATCTACATTTGCATAAAATTTCAAGTACCAACTAGGAGTATCATAATTGTCATCAAACAATATTGATATGTCTATTTTTTCAGGTCGTAAACAATTAGACAGTGGAGAGAGAGAGTTTGAGTTGTGGGTATATATTTATAAAATTTCCATTCTTTCACAAAGTACTTGTGTCTATAACAAGAAACTTTTCTCGGCCGTTCACTTTGTTCTCAAACAAGTAGAAATTAATCTCTCGATAAGATTCGTTTTTTTAGCGGAGAATAGTAAAAAATGTAAGAAAGAGAAATTTTTTAAATTTTTTATATATTTGGTTAACATGAAAAGAAAAATAATAAAAAAATAATTTTCTTTCATGCTTGAATTTTTTTACAAATAATCAACTTTTTTTTTAGTAAAAAACACAAGGAAATGCAAGAAAGTTGTGATCTATAACTAACTTCTCATTTTATCTTTTTTTTAATATTTTATTGGTTATTAATTTTAAAAAACTTTGATATGGATTTGATTAATCATATAAATTGGCCCAAAGATCTTTGTGTTGGTGATTGTGTTAGAATTAAGTTTTGAGCTATTTTTTTAATTTTTTTTCACTTTCAATTATAATTACATATTTTTTTCTTTTTTAGACAAATTTAATATAATTAAAGTAATTTAGACAATTATAAAAAATTTCTTAACTTTACTGTCTTCAAACAATAGAATAATTTTTTTTTAAACTTTGCTGTAAACTTTTCATTCTAATTGAATACAAACACGAAAGTATATTTTTTTTTCTTTCACTTTATTTTCTATCATTTTTATTTTTCGATCATTTTTTCTTTTCAAACAAAACTGACCCTAAATGAAAACGTGGTCCTAGGAAAACAATTAAGCCAAAATGATGACCTTTACTAATCAACGACAAATGACTAGGAACTGAATTATCATCACACGATTAATCACGACAAAATCAAATGTATGTACCATTTGTCGACTCCTTTATACTAATTGATGAAGTGTCAGGATTGTGATGACAATGACAACGCAAAATTGTTGGAGATCATCTAGGCATTCCATATCTACAAACATGGCTCATTGTTATAACAAACATGGCTCACTGTGCCCTTGCCCTGATTTTTGAGGCCGTAGCCGTTTTGATGCACCTGCTCGCTTTCCGTTTTCATCCTGTGGCTCAATCAATAAGTCCCACAGAAGAAGAGTTGAACCCTTTTCCGCCTGCAAAGGTTCCTTCTCATTATGACTGGTTTGGTCCCGCATTCACATGCTCAATTGAGCTTGATTCAATGATAGAAGGTGAATTCTTTGCTGTCTTTGTTTTTAGGGAGAATTACATCTAGGCTCGCTCAATTATTTTTCACTTAATCACTCAAATTTTTTTATATTTAAAATATTACATATAGATCTTGTGAGGTTTGTTTGCGCAAAATACTTAAACCCAACCATTAAATGTCGTTAGTATATTCATTAATAAATTACAATTAGACTCCTTAACGTATAATATTTAGATTTTTCAAGTTTAAAATATTATATTTAGACAAAAAAAATATTCCAATCAAAAATAGAATATCAAATATTTTAAATTTTAGAAAAAATTTCAGCCACACCCCACTTAATTTACTATATCTTCAAGGACACCCCTCTATTATAAAAAATATCACTGACACCTTTTTTAGTTTATATTTAAATATCACAGACACCTTCTACCATTTCTAACCAAAAATATTCATCTAAAATACCAAAAGGGCCGCTACATAAACCTCAAGTAATTTTTCTGCATAAAATTTTATTGAAATTCGAACTGATTAAAATTTATTTTTCTAGATATTAAAATTTGAACTAATTAAAATTCGATTAAAGATGATTAAATTTTATTTTTCTTAACGTATTAAAATTCGAGCCTATTAATATTTATTTTTTACGTATTAAAATTTGAGCTGATTTGAAATATACTCGAGTTGTTAGCGCCGATTAAAATTCGCTTTTAAGTTGATTAAAATTTATATTTTTTTATGTATTAAAATTTGTGTTAATTAAAATTCAATATGAGTTGATTAAAATTTGATTTGAGTCGATTAAAAATAATTTTTAATTGGCTCAAATAGAATTTTAATTAGTCTAAATTTTAATACATAAAAAATATAATTTTTAATTTGCTCAAATTTTAATATGTAAAAAAAAAATTAATTAGTTTGAATCGAATTTTAATCTGTCCGAATTTTGATACGTAAAAAAAATTAGAAAACAGAGGAGGTCTCATTGAAAATATGTTTATCTAGAGGGGGTGTGGATGAAGTTTATCCTCAAATATATCATGAAAAATTTAATAAAATTACATTCTAGTTAAAACAAAAATTCATATTCTATTGTATTATTTATTGAAATAAAATTAAAAAAAAAACTAATTTTTCTTAAAAAAATCATAATTACTATATAATTATACTATATATTGGAATAAAACAAAAAAAAAATCAAACAAGGAGTCAAACTGTAATGAACACAATAAATTTTAACTTTAATTAGGGTAATTTGATAGTTTAATTTGGTCATTTAAATGATCAAATTAAATTCTAATAGATAATATAACTTTAGTTTAAGAAAAAATTAAATTTTATTGTGTAATGTGTCGCTTGTGCCACCCAAAACCAAAAATAGACCGAGTTCAAACAAGAAAATGAAAAAAACCAGTTAGGCCCACTAGGCCACTAACCTCTCTCTCTCTCTCTCTCTCAGCAACAAACAGGAGCAGTTTCTCTTTTAAACTGTGAATTTGTTAAAAATTGGTTACTATAAGAAATTATAATTTTATGCATTTGTATTTATATTTTCTTTCTACTATAATATGTCAATATTTCTTTTAGAATGCTAGCAATAGAATTGACAAAATTCTGTCTAATGTTTAACAAAAGAGTTATAATTAACCCCTTATGAAAGTTCTAGTTAAAATTTTCTGAGTTAGCATGGAGTACTCTTCCCGTCCGATTCCTGGGTTTAGAACCAATTGTACAGGTTTGAATTGGGCCCCAACAAAAAAAATTAAACGGAGCACCAAATAATAACTCTTTACAATTTTTTTTTTTTAGTTTAACGGTCAAGTGTATCTGGATTAACTTATGTTCAATTCGACTAATTTTCTCTATACAAATACTAATGTATTCATGAACGATAAATCTCTTAGAACTTAGTCCTAAAGAGTTGTCAAAATATTGGTGAGCTAATGTGACCAAAGGCGAAGCTAGAAATTCAGTCTAGGGTGAGTGCTTTACTTAGAAGTTTTAAAATTGTCTTCTTCCAATCAATAAAAATAAAATAAAATATTTAAATTTAATGCATTGTATTTGATACTTAAAGATTTATAAAATACAAAAAGAATCAAAGGTCGATAAATATAATATATACAAATTAAAAATACAAAAAGATGTTAATTACAACCATTTGCAACAAATGAGACTAATTGCATTTAAAAGATACTATAAATTTATTTTATTTTATTTTACTACAGGGTGTTTAGGTTTGCGCCAATAATTTTTTTTATATATAATCAATCAAGCTATGCAACCTAATTTTTCATAATCTATATAACTTAAAAAATGAGTTTGAAATGTCAAAAATTGATCTATATTTACTCATATAGTGTTCAAAATGTGTTCAAAAGTTCATAGTTTTTAGTTATGTGACTATATAAATTGATAGAACAAAAAAATAATAGAATGAACGTATTTAAAAATATTTATAATTATTTGAAATATACATAAATAATATATTTTTAAGAGTAATATTATTTGAATCTAAAAAATTATATTAATTTGTTAATTTAATAATATAATTTAATTAGTGTCATTTAAATAACATTAAATTTTAATGTTAAATAAAACACGCAATCAATATAAAAATCATAATGAAACAAATTTCAAGGTGGATCCGTGCCCCTTAAAAAACGTTCCTCATTTTGAAAACACACACACACACACAAAAGAGAAGGGTGGACTATTTTTACCTCATAAATCTCTATTCTCACCTTATTTAATTTTTTATTCTTAAATTACTAAATTTACCTCTTTTATACCCACTTTATTAGTAATTAAGTCCACTTCATGCTATATACACCCTATTAATAGTTAAACTCATTCATTTTATGTACACCTATTTAATGAAAGAAGTTATCGTAAAAAAATAATAAAAGAAGACAAGTAGTTTGAATGCATAAATATATTTATGAAATAAGAACAAAAAAAGAATAAAAAAGAAAACAAGTTAAAAAAACAAAGCATGTTGAAACAAGAAAAAAGAAATAAACAAAATAAGGAAAAAAAAAGAGGAAAGAAAGAAGCAGACCGAAATAAGAAAAAAGAAAATAACGAAATAAGGAAAAAATAAAAGAAAGAAACAAACCAAAACAAGAAGGAAAAAAAATAAAACAAAAATTAAAGGAACAAGCAACTATAAGACGTAAAATCGAATATGAAAAAAAAAATAAGCATCAAGCACAGATACAAAATCAAACAAAAAAAAAAATAATAAGCATAGAAGTAAAATCTTACCAAAATAAAAAAGAACAATAATCTGAAAGTATACATATATATACACAAATATAAATTTTAAATAAAAAATTATTAAATTTGACCAAAATATCAAAATATACCGAAAATAATGAAAATTCATATAACAAACATGAATCAAACATAAAATTAAATTGAGAGGTAATATTAACATTTATCTCACTGAAAAAATTTATATTGAAAAAACGTTTTTGTGAGTGCATGAGAAGATATAGGAATAAAATCCTAATTATAAAAAAATATAAAGTGAATTTACTTATTAAAAATAGTGTATGCAATATGGGGTGAGTTTAGTTATTAATGAGTATACTTATTTATGAGGTGGATTCAAAAGGTGTGAGATTATTAGTTTAATAATGAAAAATTAAATAAAGTAAAAATTAAAATTTATGGGGGTGAGAAAAGCCACACTCACGACGAAATCACCAGGGAATTCAAACTCATCTCAAAAGAATCCAAATGCAACACAAATTCAAATGCAGCTTGTCAACCAAGGGTAAATTACATTGACACTCCTTAATATTTGGTTTTATTGCATGTATACCCTCTTACTTTTCTAAAATTACACTAAACTCCCTTGACATTTAATACTTGTAACAATCATTCCCCCTCTAACTAACGGACATTAAAATTATTCACAGTCAAAATTGATGTCATCAACAATAATTCCTAAAATACCAAAACTACCCTCCAAATTAAGTTTAAGAATTAAAATAAATATTTTTCTTATCTTACAAATTTACCCAACCAATTATTTATTTATTTTAATCTATACATTTCATATATAAATTAAAATTAAAATTTTAACACTAAAATGTTTAATTTTTTAATCTATTACATTAATAAGTTAATTTCTAAAATTTTTTTGTGTATTAAATAATATTTGGAATTATTAGTATAGTTTAAAAATTAATCATTTTTTAAAAATCTTAATAATTACCTATTCAATTATACTATATTATTTTTATTTTTATTTTTATTTATCTAATTATATTCATTCTTACTCTTACGACCCATCACCATCGGTCCACCAGCAGTTCCACCACCTAAACCCACTCATCACCACTGGTTCCACCACCTAAACCCACCAAAACTTTCAAACCCAACTAGACCACCAAAACTTCCCAACTAGACCCATCACCACCACCAAGAGAGAGAGAGAGAGAGAAAGACTAAAACCACCCTTGCCTCTGCCACCATTGAAACTACCACTTGGACCAAATCCATCATCAACTAACACCACTGCATCGCAGAGATTAGAGTTTCAACCACCACTTGCAAAATCCATCCATTACCATCAGTTCCATCACCTAGGGTATAGATCACAAAGAGATAGGAGAGAGAGATGGAGATCACAAACCCTAGGTATTGATCACCTAAAGATCGTTTGTTGTGCAATTGGGTGCTGGTGGAAATAGACGGTGGTGGTGGGTGAGTGAATTTTGAAACCCGACGACGATGGTTGCGCCGTTGGGTAAAGATCTTTCGTTGCGTCATTGGGTTTGATATGTCTTGAGAGAGAGAGAGTGTGGGGGGGGGGGTTTGGGTCTTGGATCTTGGCTCTTGAGTATTGGGTTTTGGATCTTGGTTCTTAATGGGTAGTTAAGGTGAGGGTAAATTAGTCTTTTTGTTGGTGTCGTAAACGTCGTTCATTTGGTGGGGTCTCAGTGTAATTTTAAAAAAGTAAGGAATATCCCTGTAATAAAACCAAATAACAAGAGGTGTCAATTTACCCAATCATCTATAAATTGAAATTTATAACACACACACACACTCGTTCTAACCTAGAGAGTTGGCCATTGCCACGAAAACCATGGCGTCTCTTCTTCACACTGCCACTATACACCAAGGCCGAGCTGCCATTAACAGAGCTCACATGCTCTTTCACTCCATTTTCATCATCCTCTTGTTCTACTACCGCATCTCCTCTCTCCTCCATCCCCCAACTGAGGAGAACTTTTCTCTCACTGCAACGACTCTCATTCTTGTTTCTGAGCTCATTCTCTCCTTCCTCTGGGTCTTGACTCAGTCGTTCCGGTGGAGACCGGTGACTCGCTCGGCGTTCCCAGAGAGACTTTCCGGTGACCAAGAGTTGCCGGCGATAGACGCGTTTATATGTACCGCTGACCCTAAGAAAGAGCCGACATTAGATGTGATGAACACTGTAATATCAGCCATGTCATTGGACTACCCGCCGGAGAAGCTTGCTGTTTATGTTTCCGATGATGGTGGTGCTTGGGTTACCTTGATGTCCGTGAAAGAAGCTGCAATATTTACAAGGTGGTGGATTCCTTTTTGCCGGAAGTATGGTATCAAGACGAGGTGTCCAGAGGCTTACTTCTCCGGCTACGTCTGTGTAGATGACCAGACAATCCGCAGCGATGAATTCATGGCCGAAGCAAAACACATCAAGGTATGTATAGCATAGTTTTAAAAATCGGCTCGGACGCAACCGGAGAAAGAGATTGAGTTAATGAATCAATAGTTTAACTATTGGGTAAATGATCGAATCGATAATTTAATAAAAAAAAAAAAAAATATTATTATTATTAAAGTCAAAAAATCACAATAATTATGAAAATATATGCTTAATATATATTAAACGAAACAAAACCCCCAAAATTATTAGCAAGCAACCATGAAACAAAATAATATAATCAAACAATCTGCTCAACTAATCAAACAAACTACTATTACAGACTTTACACTATGACATTAATGTTCAAAAAAAAAGTGTGACAGTATAAACAATTAAATATTCAAGCAACTAAGCAAGTGAAAATAGAGAGACTGAAAGAGAGAGGGAGAGAGAGGGAGGGAGAGGGAGAGGGAGAGACAGTGTACCCGTAGTGAGTGTGTTGTGTCTCACACTCTCACTTGAGGCAAGGAAATACAGAATAAGGAATGAAGCCCGGAAGCAACGAAGCCCTAAAGTTGCGAAGCCCTAAAGCAGTGAAACCCTAAAACAAATCGTCGAAGAGTCTCCGACAAGTGAGTCCCTATCAGCCTTTGCTTTCTTTGATTACTAGCAGCGCACAGAGAGAAAGAGAGAAAAGGAGAGGCTAATCTGAGTCGTTTAGGAGAGTCAAAGACTCAGAGCAGAGGGCAAGCCACAAGATTTAGGGCAAAAATGCTAAAAAGCCCTAAAACCCAGATATTTATATGGTTTGAATTAATCCAGCCGGTTTATTGAAAACCATCGGGGTTGAACAGTTTTGACAGGAATCCGGCGGTTAAGTGGGTTTCTTCCGGTTTTGGTACTTAAACAATCTGATCTGAGAACCGGCCCAATTTAGGCTCCGGTTCACCAAGTCAACTTGAGCGAGCCGGATCGGTTTATAAAACACTGATGTATAGTGAGGTTAAGGTGATATTGTAACCATATTTTTTACAAGTAAAATTATAACTATTTAGAGTAACTCGAAGCGACAAGAGTCCTTAGGAGAGAGACAAGGGTCTTTAGGAGGAGTAAATATTGAATGTAACAGTGATACTATAGTTTTAAATAACAATAATGGATGGTGTAACAGTATTAATAATGGCGTAATAGACACAGAATATAACAAGCGTTATGTAGTAGTAACATAAATCAAAGTCGTGAATTTTGTTAGTAGGCAAAAATCAAAATTTTCTATATATTTGGACCAAAATAAAATAAATTCAATTTTTTGGTGATTTATAATAGTTTTTTATTATATTCATGATTTTGGTATGCTAAATTGCTTAATTAATTCAAATTTATGGCAAATGAAAAAAAATTAATCTAAGCAATTAATATCTTTTTATTTGAAAATTGTATTCAAAATAGGAAGTAGGCAAAATAACTGTTAAATTAGATCATTGGGACAATATAAAAACGTTTTGCAATTCCCAACAAAAATTGTTAATTGTTAAATTTGTGCAAGAAGGGCCTCACCACCTACAAATTTTTAGTCTATTTGAATCCGCTCTTTCACGTTATTAAAGAACATGACATTTGTCATTTATTCAATCAATTAATTTGTTGATAATGCATCAATAATCATTCATTATATAGGTTGAAGAAGAATACGCTCTAGTTGATTTTTGCCTTTCCCAAAAACCTATCAATTTTTAAAACCTTGGTGATACTATATCAACATTACAATGTTGAGATACTCGGCCCGTGCTATGTTAGCCTAGTAAAGTCTTCGGCTTACTTACCCAAAAGAGAAAGTCTTGAGGCCAACCCATACCCTCTTTTTTGGCAGGAGCCATAACAATGGAGATATTCTTCCATGATCTTTGTGGTACAGACTAAGGCTCCAAGGGGTAAATATGTCTATACCATTCGCTAACATGTCGACAAGGATTGGAACTCAGGGTGGTGTTGGGTTACAGTTAAGCGGTGTGAGAGAGAATAAAATCACTGAAATACCGGGTCAAGGTTAAATTCGAAAATTATACTGTCTTATTAACCTATCATATCCTATCCTAATGAGTGTTAATCCACTTTAACCTTTTATCCAAACAGCCCCAAGAATCTGCCCCACTCTACCAGCGATGCTCGTGCCATTTCTTATAGTTTGCTCCGTTATTATTAGTCCCTCACTGACACTACGATTTAGTTTGTGGATTTAACTGAAGACAGCCCAAAATTTGCATCCCAACTGACATAGCAAGAGTCATGTCATACAAGTGAGCCCCATTAAGGGCATAATTAAGCCTGTGGTTTTGTTTTCTACTCAACAAAAACATTCCTAACTCAAAGGATATATATATATATATATATATATATATATATATCCTTGTAATTAAAGATCTACTAGCTTCGCAGCATCAGATTGTGTTAATTTCAATTCAGTTTTTCGTGCAAATGTATTTCGTGCAGTTAAAATACGAAGAGTTCAAAACTTTTGTCAAAAGTGCCAGCGGCTGCATCGCTGTGGAAGATGTTAACACCACCACGGGTCAAGGCCGTGCCCCCAATGTTCAGGTAATCTAATTTTTTTTCTTTTTTCTTTTTTTTTTGTTGGTAAAGTATCGAAGTTTTTGTTTAATATACTCTTCTCACTCCACTCCACTGTATATATTGTAGTTGTACAATGTTTTCGTGCATTGGCAGTGCCGTTGTTGAACTTATTATCATTTTATATCACTCAGCCATGCGCTGTCCTTCTACCACCAAGTATGGTGGTCTTGGTGGTCCTAAAACACACTGAAAATGACTACAGGACAAACGTTGCAATTTAGAATGGGACATGATTAATAACCTATGATAGTTTGAAAGTTATTATTACATAGCGGTTGATCCTCTGAATATGAACTTAAATTTTTTCTTCAATACTTGAGTTCAAGTCTCTATATTTATGACAGTTCGATGAAACTAAACTTACTCTTCAGTGTCCAGAACACACAATAAGATCTTAGCTTCGGTCTAAAGTAATTATCACGATGTTTCCTACAAATTACTGTATGGTACCGAAGAACAATATTTATTAAGAATAAGTGATATTTTAGCAATTTTAAAATGAAAGTTAGTTTTATACTCTTCTTCCGTGTTTTTCGTTTTCATATGCGCAGGCCTAGATTTTTGCTCACTCTACCACCTTGAAACTTGTGTAGGATTATTGTATTAATAATAATCTCGTATTTGAAGGTGTTTTATAATTTATTTGTTTGGGGCTATATTAAGTATATAGTTTTTAAGGGTTTTGAATGTACTGTCAATTTTCGACACGACACGTTAACATTACACATATCGAACACGAAATTAAACAAATTAATGGGTTAAAATGGGTCAATACGTTTAAACACGAAAAAAATTATACCGGGTTCATGTCAAAATCAGGTCAACCTGATTAACTTGATTAACTCGTATATTTTAAACAGGTTGATATGATTCGGACACAAACTCATCCTAACTCATTATAGATTCGTTTAACCCGTTTATTGTACTATAGTTTATCTATTATGTATGATTGATGTGGTTTTAATATTATTACTTATTAGTCCTTACTTTTATTATGATAATTGACAGTATAATTCTTAACATTATTATGACAGTATATTAGTATAGTTATTACTTTAATTTTTGGGTTGAAACCTAAATGCATTTTAATTAATTTCATTGGTGAGATGTGATACATTTTTTGTAAAAAAATTATTCAAATTTTGAATAAATGATTGAATGATGTATTTAATGGTAATGAACTGGTGTAAAAACAAGTTATGTGTGTTAAACAGGTATGTGTTGTGTGGGCTAAACAAGTTAAACAGATCATGTTATGTGTGTTAACCCAAAAATAACCTGTTTATTAAACGTGTTAAACAGGTCGGATTCGTGTTTACACATCTCGACACAGTTATTAAAAATGTCAAGTTTGAGTTTTGAGATTTTCGATACAAACTCAAAATCAACCCGATACGTTTGACACCCATAATTTTGAAGTAAAATAAGTCAGGTATATTTGGACCTTGACTCTTTTATGAGCTTATGCGGCAATTTTTTGAACCCAAAAAGACTTTATTTAGTCTAATTCAAGAAGTTAATTTTATGTGCTTTTCTTCTGACTTTTTGAAATTTTATCACGGGTCTTACATAAATTTTTAGTTTATTATATTTATAAAATATTATTAGTGATGCAATTTTTTTTTGAAATAGATATTTTGGGAACTATTATGTATAATCTATACATACACATAGTTATTTTTTTATTTTGACACAAAAAGCTAGAAAGTCACTCGAAACAGATTTTTTCAACTTTTTAGTTTTTTGAAAAACACTTTAAACGGTTTTGAAAGACTTTTAACTTTAACTTTTTTGAAAAACTTTTCAAATCGCAACTTTTTTCCTAAAAAAATCAGATCCAAACAGACTCAATATCAAAAATTGAACATTAATTGTGTAATATTTATATTTTAAATAATATTTTTTTTTAATTATGTAATTTAAAATTAAAGTGAACATATAAAAAAATAAAATAGAGATATGAGAGAAAAGAAAGAGTTAAGTGTGTATTAAGGGGGTTGAGTGTGTAAGTTGAGTTATCTAATATTGGAACATGTGTAGAAAAAATGATATTTTTTAGTGGAAAAAAAATTTGGTTATAAATTTGATTTTTTTGGATCAAAGTAGATAAAAATTGGATTAATATTGACCATTATTATATTTTTATAAATTAAAAATTCAACTTTCTAACTATAATATTAGATAGATCGGAAAAAACTAGCTTGGGACCAACCTAGTGGGATACTTTTTCCTTTTCTTTTTTTTTTTGTTTTTGTTTTTGTTAGTGGTGATGAAATATATTACAATTGTACTTCAAAATTTTCCAATTTTTTTCATGGGATATATTAGAGAGTTAGGGGTGTCATCCCCCTAGTCCATAGTCTATGCTTTTATGTTATTTTCCTCTTTTTACTTGTTGAACAAATATTGACCATCCTTTTTTGACTGTTTCATACACCATTCATGAAGACTGAAAGATTTCTCTACCTTGTTACCTCCATTGTTTTTTCTTGAATTAATTTCCCAGTTAAAACTTGAAACCAGTTATCATGTGAACTTGGCTTTTATTTATCACAGATAATTTTAGATACGAGAGGGAATGAAGATAACAATGAGGAGAAGCTGCCACTCCTTGTCTATGCTTCTCGTGAAAAAAGACCATTATATCCTCATCGCTTCAAGGCTGGAGCTCTAAACACCCTTGTATGTCTCTCTCTCTCTCTCTCTCCCCCTTACGTAACCAAAAACAAAAAAAAATCATTAAAAGCACTAAATCTGATGCATGTTGTCATGCAGCTTCGCGTGTCTGGGATCATTAGCAACGCCCCTTACTTATTGGTTTTGGATTGTGACATGTATTGCAACGATCCAACCTCAGCTCGACAAGCAATGTGTTTCCTTCTCGATTCTCAGTCTGATCCTTCCTTAGCATTTGTTCAATACCCACAGGTATTCTACAACGTTAGCAAGAACGACATCTACGATGGCCAATCAAGATCTGCGTATAAAGTACGTTCCAAATGCCATGTTTTATTACCGTTTCACATTCAACAAATATTTATACCTATTGAATTGTATAATGAAACTTCAAATTCAATTCAGACTAAGTGGCAAGGCATGGATGGCTTGAGAGGACCCCCTTTGTCCGGCACTGGATACTACCTAAAGAGGATTGCATTATATCAAAGCCCTAAGCAAAAAGGTTCAAAATTTCCAACTCTTAACATATATGTGTTCTTTGGTAATGATCAATACAGCATTTGGGATCGGAATTGAGAGCGATAATTGAGAGGGTTAAACTTTTTAAATGCTAATTCTCCACCTTCTTGTTCAGAGTTTTCTCCCCCTCAACCCAAACTGGATTTTGGCCACTCGCACATGTTAATTGATTCACTGTATAGTAACAATGAGCAGCGTGACAACAAGAAAGAGTCACCGGAGGAGCTGCTAAAAGAAGCTCACTTCTTGGCAACTTGTACCTTCGAGAGAGGCACGAAATGGGGCTCTGAGGTAAGTCTTACTTCCTTATACATTTCTCAAATTTTGCATTTCAAATTAATGTGAATGATTGTGTCAGCGAACCTCGTTAATTTTTTCTTTAATAAGATCTACTGATCCAACAATTCGTATTCATTTGGGATGGGATAATGCTCGTCATTACTCAATTTTGGGAGACACGATGATTCAGTTCTTGAAATGAAGACTTGTGTTTTTTTTTAACCCTAAACAGATGGGCTTCTCCTATGAATGCTTGTTGGAGAGTACATTCACTGGCTATCTTCTACACTGCAAGGGATGGACTTCTGTATACAATTACCCTAAGAGACCAGCTTTCTTGGGCTGCACCACCATTGATGTGAAGGATGCTATGGTTCAAATGAGAAAGTTTAATTCTGCTCTCCTCCAAGTAGGTCTCTCGAAATTCTCCCCTCTCACTTTTGCCGTGTCCCGAATGTCTGCTATACAAAGTATGTGTTATGGGTACCTCGCTCTCCAGCCTCTCTTCACTATTTCATTACTGATACTTGGCACTGTTCCCCAATTTTGCTTCTTCAAAGACATCCCTCTCTATCCTAAGGTATGTAATAACGCTTCTATACTCCTCTTTAATTGGAGTAAATATTTAATATGATAGTGATAGCACGTCATCAATGACATGTTGGATTACAATCCAATAATAAGAGTTTATGTGCGAAAAGTAGTTATTACATAGTATATATGGTCCTAAATTCTTTTATTCATTAGGCTCCCAATACACCATTAATGTTGTGAGCTCTTTAAAAGAAAAAGATTCCTGCAATTTCAAGTTACAGTGCGATATAATATCATCTTCGTTGCAATTCTTGTATCAGCTTACCAGTCCATGGCTTGCCGTGTTTGCGATTATATGGGCATCTTCACTTCTGCAACACTTGCATGAGGTGCTGTCCAGTGGAGACCCATTGGTGACATGGTGGTACGAACAGCGAATCTGGGTTTTGAAAATAGTGACAGGAAGCTTATTTGGATACCTCGACGTTGTCCTCAAATGGATTGGCATAACAGCAACCGTTTTTAGGTTGACAAACAAAGCGATTGACAAGGACAAGATGGAGAAATATGAAAAGGGAACCTTTGATTTCCAGGGTGCTGAACTTTTCATGATTCCTTTGGGTTTTCTTGTCTTGTGGAACTTGGTCTGTTTCATCGGTGGATCATGGAGAATTGTAGTAAATGGGGGTTTCGGTGATATGTTTGGACAGTTTTTACTCTCCACCTACATCTTAGTCCTCAGTTACACTACTTTGATTGAAGGAATGAGAAGAAAAGGCTAGGGCTGGATTTGAACTCGAGACCTCACTTTAAGCTGTGCAATGCCCCTGTTAGTTTGTATGCCTCATTTTCACCTACAGTTCTTCAAAGCATATAATAAGGATGTAGCACAAGTCAATGATTCTGCTCTTTCATGCCCTCCATACATCTTGTGCATAAGGATCTAAATTTGCTTGTATTTGAATAATAGATTTTCATATGTAAGGAAATTTTAGAATGCATTCAATGAAGATATTCTGATTCCAAGTTTATTACAAAAAAGTTAGGAGTAATCCTAACATTTTAGGAAGTCACTGAATGTTTTACTTTCCTTGGTCCAAATGTCTAGGCTGCAAAACAGGGCTAGTCCTCTTTCCCAACTTAAAAAACTGAGAGGAATTTGTACTATTAAATAACTCATTAAGGTGTTCAAGCTTAGTTTTTTTTCCTAAGAACTAGTCATTCTTATTTCTTTAGAGACATGTTCTAACCAAACTCAAATAACGGTGGTCAACCATTGAACTTAAAGAGTAGTCGGTGCAAACCTAAACTCTCTGTACTAAAAAAAAACTAACCCATAGTATCATAGGTATTGGTATTAATTGGCGTAAGTTTATAGAGCTTAAGTATGCTTAAAATTGGTCCGATTGTGATTGACTTTTCTCGAGCTTGAACTGAACATAATTGTTGATCCTAAATTCTTGATGAAACTCAATTTGGTAGAAGTTTACCATCATTTGAACTAAAATCAAGCTCAACTTTTAAGTAAAATGTGTTTGAAAATTAAACCTTATAATTTAATAGTTATTCCTAAAATAATCAATTACAAACAAAAAAATCTGTTAGAGTTCGTTGAATCAAAAACTAATCAACTAGAGTAAAAATTACACATTGCTCGATCGGATTCGAGTCTCATAAAAAATAAACTTTGAAATACAATCAGATTTGACTTATTTTAGAATATAAATAAATCTAAACGTGTCAAATCTAATTTAAACTCATACCGCTTGGATACTTTCTCCAATCAAAGATAAATATTAAAGGTAACAACTGTCTCGACAAGTTGTGTTAATTTAGGTTTGTATTGAGTACTAGTCAACTTTAACCCAACACATTTAATTAATCATATTACATTAATTCGACCTATTTATTTTTATGTCATATTCGTGTTAACTTATATAGCCCGTCAATCAGACATTTAATACTAAAACTTAAGTGTAAAATGTCATTATATGTTAACTGAATTCACTCATAATTTTTTCATAAACTAAAAATTAACTTAAGACATATAATAATAATAATAATAGTAAGTAAAAATTTATCTTATTGTACAAGAATTATGTAAATGCTTAATAAAAAATAATAAAAATTTGGCATTTCATTGATACAATAATAGTTAAACGTGTTAATTTTAGGTTATTAGTATTTGCCTCTAATTTAATTTATTTATTATTCGTGTTAACACATTGTATTATTTTTTAGGTTTGTGTAAAAAATAATTAACCTTAATTTACTAATTTAATGTCTACAACACTCGAATACGTAATAGCCCTGTATTTATGAGAAAGACTACAGTATCATTGGTGGTACCATATTGAAAATTGTAATTTTTTAAGGTTATATGTTATAATTTTTTAAGGTATAAGTTATAATTTTTTTAAGGTATAAGTTAAAACTTTAAAGGGTATGATCGATCATGAAAAGTTAAGATCGATACCGAGAATTCATGATCGATCATGAATGTATATGATCGATCATGATCTTTTCTTAAGTAATTTTAACTTCTTTTTTTTAAATTATATGTAACACTCTCATTCACTTTCGTAATATTTCAAGAGCGCTAATAACCTTCGCAATCATTAAATGGTACAATATCCAAATAATTAATAAATTCGGATACCAATTTCATATATATTTCAAACAAGTACTTCTAGACCATTATAACTTACACGTCTTAGAGATAAAAGCCTTTGAAATCAATCCGTATAACATAACACATTTATAAATCTTCACTAAAGAAAACATTAATAGATTGAACATTCGTGGGCTTCCTTCCCACATGTTAATCTTTAAAAAAAGAAATAATGTAGGGTGAGCATCAACAGTTTATTAGAGTAACTCAATTTCTAAGCAAACGAGTTTGAAAATAGTATAATTTAGTATGATTGGACAATAATCCAAACGAGCATTTGATACATCTATATGAAAAACAACAAATGTTGAGCGAAAATAGTTAGGTATAGAAACAATAATACGGTTACAACATTAATACATTGTCACACTAGTGACCAAATAATCCTAATAGACTACTCAGGACCAATACGATCCATACGATCTAATAATTTAGGGGATTTTCACTCCAAAGAAGATACGTTCCCAAGTTAATACGATCCAATTCAATATCTAAGTTCGAAGACCAACAGGGTCACCTAGACATTTACGAACTCAATGAAAAACCCTCTACAGCCTCAACCTAGAACGTAAACTCTCTGCCACTCAAACTTGTGTGCACTTAAATTTCATTTAAAAGGATCCCGGAGTTCCTTTTAATATGAACAATACGAGCAATACGATCATTTCCAAAACATTAGTGCAAACTACACTCAAAAATCCTGATCTAAGTCTGAATTCAAGTCAATATTCAAAACACCCAGTCATATATTTCAAAACATACTCAAGAATCATAAATAACATAAGGAATAATTTAAAAACAAGTTTGGAAAGCATCGTTTGTTCCGGAATTGAGAAACCTTACCTACTTGGTATTTTGATCTGAAAGAGCCAAAAATTAAACAATATTATTTTTTGATGAAATTTAATACGCATACTCAATTAACCTACCTAAGAATGAATATAAAATTTAGTTTCTCAAAATCATTCAAAAACTGCGTCAAATTGACTCCGGAGGGCAAAACAATCATTTTACTTTCTAGTTTGATGCGATCGTCGGATCAACTTGAAATTTTACCGGAACTTCTGTTTGGACATTAAGGAACTTTTGGCACAAACCAGAGGTCGATTAGAGGTTGGATGAGGCTAAAATTGCTGTCGGGGGTCCACTGATATCCACCACCCCCTTCATCTTCAACCTTTGTCAGTTTGACTTTTGCTCTAAATGCAGAAGTTTCTGCTCAACCACCCCACTTTGACCCCCGAGTTCTCTCACTACAGTACACTTTTTCTTGTGATCTCAATACTCACACTCTTTGAACAACCTAGTTTCAATCCCCCATAGATTCAACCTTCGAATTTAACTCTAACATCATCAAATCATTGGTCAAAGTTGACTAAAAATTATTTTTTTAAACACAAGGGCAGACCTGCAACTGCCCGTTTCACCCCCCAAAACAACATTTAAATCCAATTTTGAGATCAGAAATGGATTCCTTAACCCCAAATTGGCTAGACTCAAGCCTCCTTTCGAAGCTTAAATAAGTTTTAACTAAAATCACATTTTCACTTTTTCAAACCCTCACACCACCATGACACCACCACTAAACAACTCCGCAAGACTCCTCAAACTCATTCATACCAAACAATTAACCCAAATCAAGCTCAAATCTCAAACTCGTGCGTTCGTGAAACTCCAATTTGATTCATTAATGCAACTCCTGCGTTCGTGAAACTCCTGCGTTCGTAATTCACTGATTCACACTAATTCTACTTTGTTCATTTATGCTTTTCGATACATTTTTTTTTCACCAACCACATATCTACACCTAGCAAAACATTTATGCACCACACTAGAATCATCAATTTACAGTCCACCTATTCGTACTCCAAACCTCTAACCGTGCACACCCAACGATTTCTAATTACCTGAATTCGGGTTATTATATTATAACTTTATCATAAAAAATAACAATTGACAGTATAATACTAATTTTTTTTCCCGATACTATAGGCCTTTCCCTGTATTTAATGGACCTCACCCAGCTAATCGAACAAAACCTACGTTGTTCAACATCATTAACTGACCGGTGGTGTCGATTCCAAAATGTTGTCCTCCGGCACGATGACCCCACTCGTATGTTTTTGAAGTAGTAACGAATTTTTGTATAGAATCTTTGTTTGTACAAGAATGGGTCGTATCCTATTTGGGCTTTAGTATAATAATAATAAAAAAAATATTGATAATTACATATAGAAAGCAAGCCATTTTTTTTTTTAATAATTAGATTTTTCTAGAGTGGCTTTGTTTCAAAAACTTTTTAAACTACATAGTTGCAAGGATCCTTAATGCGATTGAGTTGGGCTGCCCCACCACCTGATGGCTTTGACTCGAAGATAGTAAGGATCCAACCAGTCGGGCCCGCCACCTGATGGCTTGGGCTCGATTCAAACATTAGAATTTCATATTAGTCTAATAGTTACAATAAAATTATCATTAAGTCAATAAATTTGATTAAATTTTTAAATTTTAATAGCATTACTCTTAATATAAATACAAACGCAGATCATTTTGTAAATTTTAAAGAAATAATATATTGGGTGGGAAGAGGGGGAAAGGGGGGTTGTTTGGTTTCGTTGGCCACCGAGAAAGAAGTAGTGATTAGAAGCATGTTCAATCCTTATCCTTTTTAAAATTAAAATTTAAATTTAGATAAAAAAAAATTTGAAAAATTTCTCCAATGTTAAACCCAAACCTATATCAAACTAAGAGATACTCATTTTTTAACTCAAATTTTTAATTTTGAGATTTTACTCTCCTTTAAAGATCTAATGGTTATATTTTATTCTCTTTTAAATTTAGATTTTTTTTTCTTTAAATTTGAGTTTCTCTATTTGAGATGTCTACACTAAATCAAATTTTTTATTCATTTTTTACTCAAATTTAGGTAAAAATTTAAATTTTAATTGAAGATCATCTAAGTTGATCTGCACATGCACCAACTATAATTTTTTTTATTTTTTTTTACTGTTTTAATTATTAAAGTGTTTAGTCGTTTTGGGAGGCGTGAAAGGACAATTACCCACCAATAATGGTTACTTTTTTCTTTCTTTGTTTGGTTGTGTGGTTTGGATCTAAGTATTAGCACATCAATACGATTAATATTATTATGCTGTTGATAAATAATTATACTTTAAAAAGACTACGGCGTGAGGGTTAGTAAAAAAAAAATTGTTTAGTGTATTACTATGGAATACATAAGTTGTGCACATAGCTTGGTATTTTTTAAAGAAATTATTTTTAGAAGTAATTCTGTCAATTTTTTAAAAAAGTGTAGGTCCAAATTCCAAAATGTGTAATTTAAAGAAAAAACATATAGGTTGATACAAAAAACATATTAACTGTAATCCTTATACTTACACCATGTCAATAATAGGTGTAATCATCCACGAATAAGCAAACAAGTTTGCAAGTGAGTCTCATAGAAATTTATAATCATCCAATCATGTAATATATAATCACCTCTATGATAAAAAATGAGTTTCATTTTATACTTTTTTTATTTGATGATTATACCACGTCAACATTATTAACTTGGTAAAATCGTTAAACTCGATATTTAGTCGATTGATACATAAGTTATGCATTTAGGGGATGTTTGGATCACGGGTTAAAGGTGAATAATTATGGTAGAATAGGATAAAAAAACATTTGCAGCCCATATGTCACATATGTCAAGATGACAGATTCAATTACAGGACAAATGAGAGTGAACCACAGAATCAGTCAAAAAAAAAAACATTGTAGAAACATTAACAACAAGATGTATAAATAGAAAATAATAGTATTACGTAAAAGGGGAGATAGCATAGATAGATAAAGAGAAAATACTTTGTAAAAGTACTAATCTAAACCTACTGTAATCATTATCTTCTTCCTCAAGCAATATAGTCTTTAAGGAACAAGAGTCTTCTATATAAGTGGCTGCAGCTTTAACCTTTTGGTTAAAATGAATCACTCGTATTTATATTTATGTCTTTACTACAATTTTACCATCTAACACATCCTCTATCATAATTACACACGAAACCCCTTTGAGCCGCACCCCATTTTGTTATGTAGTTGGATTGATAGATTTCGAGTACCATCAATTTGCATAGAAAAAAACAAATCCTTTTAAATATGTTATGCATTCTAATCCTTTCTCCCAAACATACCCTCTAGGTTTATTACAGGTCTATAAATAGAAGCTTGAATGTCCCTTTCTCATACACACACGTACATCATCTAGAGAGTTGGCCATGGCCACCAACACCATGACCCCTCTTCTTCACACCGCCACTGTACACCAACGCCGAGCAACCATTAACAGAGCTCACATGTTCTTTCATTTCATTTTCATCCTCCTCTTGTTATACTATCGTATCTCCCCTCTCCTCCATACCACCACCGAGGAGAACTTTTCTCTCACTTCATGGATTCTCATTCTTGTTTCTGAGCTCACCCTCTCCTTTATCTGGACCTTGGCTCAGTCGTTCCGATGGAGACCAGTGACTCGCTCTGCGTTCCCGGGAAGACTTCCCGGAGACAAAGCGTTGCCGGCGATAGACGTGTTTATATGCACTGCTGACCCAAAAAAAGAGCCGACCCTAGAGGTGATGAACACAGTTATATCTGCCATGGCCCTGGACTACCCGCCGGAGAAGCTTGCTGTTTATCTTTCCGATGATAGTGGCGCTAAGGTTACCTTGAACTCCATAAAAGAAGCTGCAGTGTTTGCAAGTTCGTGGGTTCCATTTTGCCGGAAGTACGGTATGAAGAGTCGGTGTCCGGAGGCTTACTTCTCGGGTTACGCCGGCCAAGATGACCGGACTAACTGCAGCGATGAATTCAACGACGAAGAAGAAAACATCAAGGTATATCTATCTTTATTGAAATTGTTGGACTAGAAGGAAACACCAGTGCCATTGATTATTCAGGGTTTGTTTTTTTGCCCTTTTTTTTTGGGTTGATTTTTCAAAGCTAATTATCACAAATAGTCTTTAAATTTTGTCTGTTATTTTAAAATGACCTTTGAACCTTTTATTATTTTAATTTAGTTCTTTAATTATTAATTTTGTGTCATTAAATTTCTTCTTTTTATTTTATCCATTAGAAAAAATGGAGGCAAGCCCACCACTCTCTATATTTATTATGGGTTCCCAAAATAAATAGTTAAGAGATTAAATTAAGGTATTTGGAAGTTCGACAACTATTTTTAAAATAAGATATAAAATTTAGAGATTAATTATGATATTTCTCCTAAATTTTAGTCGAATAAGGGACAGAACCTCACGGGTCTCAGTTGCTTTAGGGGTATGGTAGGCTTTTCATCGATTCACATAATGTTTAAGTCTGCTAGGTTCTCAGCAACTAAGAAATTGCTTTAGTGGAAAATAAATTAAGAAATATTTAACTCAGTTGATTGTAACATGTTTATAAAATACAAATTTTTATACACCATAAAAGACTGATGAGATATCTATTCACAAGACATAGAAGGTTACTAAAATTATTTTTGAATAAAATACTAAAAAAATGTTATTAATAATAAATAAGATGTACAGATTACTCTTTGGCTGTACCGAGAAAATAACTAGTAAAGATGCGCGTAAGCTCCTCAAACATCTTTCGCCGTTAAACAAAAATAGAAAAGAAAAGAAAAAAAAAATAGACGACAAAGGAAGAAAAGGGGTCGAGAAGAATAAACAAGGGCTTGTCCATAAACTTTTGGGTTTGTAAGACTTAATTGCCTAACCCTTAGAATTGGCAATTTTTTATTTTTTTTGGGTACCATAATCAAAAGCGTTAGCTTATATTAATTTTTGCATGCGAATATATTCCGTGCAGTCAAAATACGAGCATTTGAAAAACTTTGTCAAAAGTGGCAGCGGCTCCAGCACTGCCGTTGAAGATGTTAACACCACCACGGGTCAAGGCCGTGACCCATTTGTTCAGGTAAACTACAAGTTTTTGTTTTGTTATCCCATTAAACTCTCTAATCTTATAAATGTTTTTTTTTTTTGGTCATTTCAAAGCATTCAAACATCAATATCAATTATGATGGTAAGAAATTCAACTTGATGGAAAGGTTAGCAAATAAAAAGTTTCAGTATCGAATTTAAAATTATTATTTTTTAAAAATAAAATTATAATTAATTAAAATTCTTTATGATCGATCATAAAATATTATGAATAGTTTCAATTAATTACATCTTTATCTCTATTAATTGTAATGGTAAAAGTGTAGGATTTGACTACGAGACCAACAAAAAAAGTTTGGTACTATATCTTCAAAATTTACTAATTTAAACACCCTGTTTTTATAATTTTTGTGAATCATTTTACAAAAAAAAATATCACTTTTTGTAAGTAATTTACCATATTTGTGAGTATTTTTATCACTGTTGTAGTAATTATTTTTCTTTGATACCAAAAAAATTATTACTTTTGTGAATAATTTATTATATTTGTGGGTGTTTTTTTATCATTATTGTGATAATTATTTTTATTACTTTTTTCTATAAAAATACTCATAAATATAAAAAAAAATCATAAATATAATAAAAGTATCGAAATTTGTTTTTCGGTACAATAGACAACTCTAAAAGTGTAACTTCACATTTTAGCTATAATTTTTATAATTAATTATAATATTTTGTGCTCAATTATACCCTAACTTATAACTCAAAAAATAATAACCTGGGCTTCAATCGGGGCGTTTTTTCCTCGTTAAGTTTGTAACATTCAGGCATTTGCTGTTTTATTCACTGCTTTCATGTGTAACATTCAACAAAAAGTAAAAAAAAATAAAATTATTATTATTTAAACCTAAAAATCTAATATAATTTGTTGACCTAATGACATGATTTTATTAAAACCATTAGATAAATATCAAATTTTAATGTTTGATAAAATCCACAATTAATATAAAAGTTATAGTAAATTAGGTCATGATCCTAATATTGCTAATATAAAAAAAACAATTATAATGGCTGAAATTCAACTGGATGGAGCCTACCTACAAAATGTTTATTCTAAAATTATTGGGCTGCGTAATTATTGAACTTATAAGTTCACACCCCTCAGTCATTTGCTGTCTTTTTCACTGCCTTAAAAGTGCTATCATCATTTCTTTCTTACTCACCATTTCACTAACCATTCCATCACCAATTGCGATGGCCTGAAATTCAATTTGGGAGAAGATTATTATACCCAAAAAAAAATAAAAAAAAATTGGGATATTTTTAAATTTTATAATTTTAATTGATATTTTTATAACTTTTATAAAGTCATTTTACAACAAAAAAAATTATAATTTTTTTGGGTGATTTAAATTTTTTATGGGTATTTTTATTATTTTTGTAATAATTTGTGATTGATCCAAACATAAAATATAGGGGGTGAGTGGGAAGGCACAAAATTTTCAAAGATCTTTAATATATATAATTTAATAAATAATTTAGTAAGTATGTAATTATTCTTTATACTATCCTTCGTGCTTGTCCCTTTCATATGCGCATCATCATGTTTTCAGACCTATAAGGTGTGTGGGTAGCCTAGGTTTCAGCCCACTTTAAGACCGTGAAACTAGCATGGTGCAGTTGTATTATAACAATGGGCTAGGAGCTTGGGAACATTGGATAAGTGGGTATTGTCAATTTTTTTTTAACATGACTCATTAATCCAATTGTTCTTCTGTTTTTTATTGATTAAGATTCAAACACCGCTGTCTTTTTTCTCCTGTAATTGTTTGTTTGGTTTTTTTTTTTGGATTAATTTTCTGGTTTAAACTTGAAACCAGTGATCATGTAAACTTTACTTTCCATTATCACAGATAATTCTAGACAAGAGAGGGAATGGAGATAACAATGAGATGAAGCTGCCACTCCTTGTCTATGTTTCTCGTGAAAAAAAACCATTATATCCTCATCGCTTCAAGGCCGGAGCTCTCAACACCCTTGTATGTCTCTCCTCTCTCTCAAAAATAAAAAATAAAATAAAATAAAGTACATTAAAAGCACTAAATGTGATACCTTGTTGCCATGCAGCTTCGAGTGTCTGGGATCATTAGCAACGCCCCTTACCTGCTGGTTTTGGATTGCGATATGTACTGCAACGATCCAACCTCAGCTCGACAAGCAATGTGTTTCCATCTCGATCCTAAGATGTCTCATTCATTAGCATTCGTTCAATTCCCTCAAATATTCTACAACGTTAGCAAGAATGACATCTACGATGGCCAATCAAGATCCGCGTACAAGGTACATGCTTTTACGTTCTTGCATGCGATGAATACTTCAACCTATAGAGTCGTATAATGCAATTTTAAGTTGAATCCCAGACTAAGTGGCAAGGCATGGATGGCTTGAACGGACCTGTTTTGTCCGGCACTGGATACTACATCAAGAGGATTGCATTGTATGGAAGCCCTACGCAAAAAGGTTCCACATTTCCAACTCTAACACATAAGCTATTTGGCACCAAAAAGAGCATTTGGGAACGTCATTTATTCATGTAGTTGGTCCATAGAACCCACCCAAGCTTTAACTCAACCATGTCTATGATCTCAGTTCCCTTTCAACTCTTACGTTTATCACATTGCACTTTTTAACTACAGTTATTATTTTCGTATTATCTCAATCATAATTATTGAAAAATGTGTATTTTACTTTATATTCAGACATTTTCAATCAAAATGAAGTCATACGTTTGATTTTAAGTTTATGTGAAAACAATTCAAATAATACAGAAGATAATGTTTCTCTCCGTAGTTGAGGGGACCAAGTGAGATCATAGCCATAGTTGAGAGGATCAAAGTGTAATTTTCTTTGAATACTAATTCTCAAGCTTCTTATTCAGAATTCTCTCACCCTCAACCCACGCTGGACTTTGGCCACTCGGACATGTTCATTGATTCACTACGTAGTAACAATGGGGAGCGTGGCAACAAGGGAGAATCATCGGAGGAGTTAGTAAAAGAAGCTCAGTTTTTGGCAACTTGTACCTTCGAGAAGGGCACGCAATGGGGTTCTGAGGCAAGCCCTAATCCTTTAAATATGTTATAGCTACTACATTAATAACAGCACTGCTACACTTTTTATAATATTTCTCAAATTTTGCATTTCAAGTTAAGTGAACGGTTGCATCAATGAGTCCCGTTATTATTTTTCTGAAGGTTAATTGCTTTTTTCCGTCCTATGATTTTGGCTAAAAGTATCTTACCTACTTAACGTTTAAAAGTATACATATTATCCTTTTGTAATTATGTACAAAAGTGAGTGGTTGACGTCATTAACAAAATTAAAAAATACCATAATACTCATGTTTTAAAATGAAATTATTCATTTGATTCTCTTGACCATAAAATTAATGAAACATGACAACAACTAACCAATTTCAATAAAAAATGTTGAGTTTTTTTTTCTCTCAGGTTTTGATCCGTGACTGAAAATCACTTATATTTTTCTTACATGTTTTTGATCTAGAACTGATGTCCTATCTATTTGGTTATTATACTATATATTATAAAAGGTATTTTAAGTATTTAAATAATGTTCTTTTGGAGGTAAATAATGAAAATAAAGCCCACAATATGTTTTGGGCGTGTGTAACATACTCTCCATTAACTTTAATAATTAAAGTAACAATTTCATTTTGGCATATATCTAGAAGGGGGTAATGCGCATAATTTTAAGTTATTTGTATCCGAATACACGTGGAGATAAAAAACAATTAACCTTTTTTCTAACGGAAAATTACGAAAATGTTTTGGAATGCTCGACGATTCAGTTTCTGAAATGATGATTTCTTTTTCTTTCTTAAAACAGATAGGCTTCTCATATGACTTCATGTTGGAGAGTACATTCACTGGCTATCTTATACACTGTAAGGGGTGGACTTCTGTATACAATTACCCTAAGAGACCATCTTTCTTGGGCTGCACCGCCATTGATGTGAAGGACGCTATGGTTCAACTGAGAAAGTTTAATTCTGCTCTCCTCCAAGTCACTCTCTCGAAATTCTGCCCTCTCTCTTATGCAATGCCCAAGATGTCTATTCTACAAACTATGTGTTATGGGTACCTCACATTCCAGCCTCTCGCCACCCTCCCATTTCTCATACTTGGCATTGTTCCCCAATTTTGCTTCTACAAAGGCATCATTCTCTATCCTAAGGTATGTAATAATGTTTCTATTCTCCTCGTTATTGGAGTAAATGTGATAACGCGTTATCAATGACAAGTTGAATTATAATCCAATAATGAGCCGTTGTGTGCAAAAAGTAGTTATCACATAATATTAGGTATTCACACGTGACGGTGAAATATAGCATTATCTTCTTTGCAATAGACCCTTGAGCGGAAACGATTCTGTTATCTTACATATTTTTCGTTAAAGACAAACAAGCTTTCACATTCAAAAAAGAGCTTTAGAAGTTCAATTTGTTGTGACATGCTATGTTTTCTCTCCCATTGCTAGTAGGTTGATAGGTCGCACACCCGGTACACATGTTTTGGCCTTGTTTGTCCATAACTAAAAATAGGTGTCCTAATAGCCTCCGCCTGATTAAATATACCAATAGTCACAAGATTTATATGAGCTATTGAAGAGGGGCTTTATAGCCTTACTTTATTCGTTATTGTATCAGTTTACAAGTCCATGGTTTGCGGTATTTGCGATTATATGGGTGTCTTCACTTCTGCAACACTTACACGAGGTGGTGTCCGGTGGAGACCCGTGGAGGACATGGTGCTATGAACAACGAATTTGGATCATAAAGACAGTGACAGGAAGCTTATTTGGATGTCTTGACGCTGTTATGAAAAAGATTGGCATCACAGCAACAGTTTTCAGGTTAACGAACAAAGCGATTGACAAAGAGAAGATGGAGAAATATGAAAAGGGAACTTTTGATTTCCAAGGTGCTGGGCTTTTCATGGTTCCTTTGGTTAGTCTTGTCTTATGGAACCTGGTTTGTTTCATCGGTGGAGCTTGGAGAATCATCGTTAATGGGGGTTTTGATGATATGTTCGGACAATTTTTACTCTCAACCTTCATCTTAGTCCTCAGTTACACTACTCTGATTGAAGGGAGACTGAGAAGAAGAGGCTAGGGTGGTATTTGAAATCGGGTTCTTAATTTAATTAAGCTGAGTAATGCCAGTTGACAATGGTTGTTTGTATGCCTTATAATAAGAATTCAGCTTAAATATATCATTGATTCTGCTCTTTCATTTCCTGTCAGTCATCTGTTATGACAAGTTCTCACGTACGCACCCTCACCTATGATCCTTTACTCAAAACGTGGAGAGGTGGACAAAAGAATAAGAAATAAAATCAACATTTTGTCCCTAAACTATTTCTGTGTTTTTTAGTTTGCTTCTCATTATAATAATTTTATTGATTTAGTCCTTAAAATTTTAATTTGTATCACTTTAGTTTCTAATTATATAATTTATTATGTTTTTTTTTACGAGAGTAACTATGTATCATTCTTTTAGGAGCAATGCTATTTTGACATAATTTGTTGACCTAATTCACTATGACCCTTGAATTGACTGTGGAGCCCATTAAACATTGAAACTTGATGTTGATCCAATGATTTTATTGAAACCACATCATTATGTTAACAAATTAAGTCAAATTTTTAGGTCCAAATAGTATTACTCTTCTTTTAGATGGTATCATGTGATCAACATGTGATCATTTTGTCAAAAACTTAACGACTTGTCTATATATGAACTATTTAAACACGAATTGAATGCAAATCCACATTATGGGTAAGCTACACTTAATTTGTTTCTTCAAAATATGAGGAGGGGTTTGTTATTTTGCTTTCTCAATTATTATATTTTTTATATTGCATATTTAATTATGATTATTTGTTTCATATTGTCTCAATCATGTTTGTTTTTAGGGGTAATGTGAAACCAATTCAAATAGTTGAGGGCACAATTTGAGAAATTAAATAAATTCGTGAAGCAAAGTAAGACATATGTCATAGTTTAGGGGGACAAAGTATGATTAATCACCAAATTATTTTGGGCCAGCTTTGAACTCTGGGCTGACCCATTAAGAGAGTCTTGACAGGACTGTGAAGGTGGCTCGTCGAAATACGTGGCACGTGCTTGCATAAATATGAGGCCTAGTTAAGAAATAAATAACTATATTGAAATTTGAAATAATTGTCTTCTTTCAATGAATTATCATCTATTTAACTAGAACCAGTTATGGTTGACGAGGATCGATGATGCACAAAAGTAAGTTTAAGCAAAATTAATTAAGAATAAAATAAAGAGTGTTCAACATAAGCAAATACAAATATTAGGTGGTTCGGTTTGGATGACAAATTTCACTGAGAATGACTACGGCGCCCAAAAAATCTTATTATTTGAGATATGTAGTAAATTGAGATATGTGTGATACTCTCATGTGTAGGCAGGACTTACAATTTATAGGCAAGTGAAGTTAGAACCAAGGGGCTCTCATGGGGCACCATCCTCGTAACATGAAGTGTGGTGTTTACATGAAGCTCACCTTATTCTCATAATGAATGAAGTGATAACATGGTGATTCCTTAAAACTTGCTCTATCTCGTAATGGATGAGATGATCTTGTGAGACTGACAATATGTCCCTAATAACTGTGTCCCTACATATACCCTCATCTAGGACGGAGACTCCTACGCACACTAGTGACGGAATAGGTTTCTCAAGAAGGTGGGATTTGGTCTAGCTGAAATTTTAACTAGGCCTTTGTTGCTTCACATTCATAGTCTAGGCCTAGTTTGCAATTTTGGGTCTGATTTGTAATTCTGGGCTGGCCCATCAAGGATTTTGTTCCACTAGGAGTGTTTTCTGGTGAGTGGGAAAAAGAAGGAAAGAAAAAAATATTTAACTATTTTTATCTTTGATGATACCATAAATTATGCTTGATCCCACATGGACCTGACTTGGTCCGTCCGGTGCCATCTAACCAAGTAATTCCAGAGAAGCTCGGCATCCATGAAGTCAGCTCAGACCAAGCTACATGGAGAAGAGGACACTACAAGAAATTGGACTTTTAGCGGTAGTATTTAAATTGCGGCTAAAAATGTCACGGTTTTAGTGGTAAAAAATTATTGTTATTCATAAAGATATAATGTGAATTTAATTAGTGACAATTTTAATATTACAGCAAAAAAAATCACTAATTCGTCACTAATATTCAATATCTAAATTTGTTTCTCGCAACAAATTTTCTTCGTATCTTATTTCCGGCCACAGTGTTTCTGCTGCATCTAAATATCATAATTTTAGTGGCAACAATAATAATTCCTACTGCTTAATTTAAACAAATTTTAATCGCCTTCCTTTTAAAATGGAAGGACATTTTGTTTCCTATATCCATCGCTCTCTGTGTTTCTTTAAACATCGAGATTCAACTCTCAACCTTCCCCCACTCTCATCTTGCATCCATGAGTATGGTTTCTTGCGTCGTTGTCCTCCTGTCACCTCTGTGTTTGTGCTGAAGATCTGAGGTAGGATTTTCCTTTGGATTTTTCTATTTTTGTTTTCAGATTTTCTATTTTCGTCCTCCCATTGATAATGCTCATTGCTGTCCCTTGGAATGGTGGATATCATGTCTAATTTATTAAATTTTTTCTTTTTTGATTAAGAAAAGGAAGGAAGAAGTGAGGGAGAGATAAAAGGACCATACCTTGCCAATACTTTGAGGCTTTGTTTTAGGTTAGGAACCTTCTTAAACTTTTCACTGGAGACTTGGAAGGGGTTGGAAATGAGATGTACAGTTGTTTTCATGGCTTCCTCTGGTTTTTTCATAATCCAAGCAGATGAAGTTGATTGATAAAAAAAATTCTCTTTTTCTGTTTTGTACACTGATTTTCAAATCTGCTTTCATTGTTAAACTTTGTTGCCTGCTTACGAAGAATCAAACTTTGCACATGGATGAAGTTATGACGCAGCCTTAGTTTTATGTGTGGAAGCAGAGGGCATACATTACATTTGTTTTTTGTGCTTTTCATATTTCTATTCTGTTTTCTGTTTTCCTTTCTCCGCTCTTTTTTTAATTGCATTTGTTTTGAGGCTTAGAACTCTTCATCAACAATAGTTTGTGTTCAGCTTGGATACTTTCTAGCTATTTTAAAGTTGACTATCTTGTGCTTTTTCACCTTATTTTTATAAATGTTCATGCTCAATCTTTTTGACTGAGTGAGCATATATTTGACCTTGCACAGGTACAAATGTAAACCGTATTTACTACGCAATTTGGTAGAACTTGGATTTAGAGAGCTAACTCCAATTCAAAGGCAGGCTATTCCAGCCCTACTATCTGTATGTTTTTTTGGGGGGTTATTTTGTTTTGTTCAGTACTTATTCCGAAATTTTATAATATTTTCTGACTTACTGTTTCAATCATTCCCCACATTTACTTTGTTACCATCCTCTATTAGGGATGGGAATGCTTTGCATGTGCTCCAACTGGTTCTGGCAAAACATTGGCTTTCGTCTGTCCTATGCTTATGAAACTTAAGGTATAGTTGAACACATATGAGTGCTTTCTCAAGGTTGATCATCGTATTCACTGACAAATTTTCATGTACTCAGCATGCTTCAAAGGATGGTGTCCAAGCTGTTATCATTGTCCTACACGAGAGCTAGCTGCTCAGACGGCAAGAGAATGTAAGAAATTGCCTTAAGTAACCAATTTTTGACATGCTATTTAGCGGAATTGAACTATTGGTTTAATTTCACAGGAAATTGTTCTACAATTGTGCTTTTGTTCAAACATTCAAAAACTAGTTTGATTTGATATTTGGCGGAATAGATTCGACTAAACAATTAACGTCTTATCTTGAGCTTGAAGGAAGTAGTGATGATTAACTCGTCTAGATATTGACCACGTGGAATCTCCAAGTGCCAATCTTTTCCTTTGTCTGAATATGCTTGCATCAACTCGAGCATGTTTATGCTCCAAATTCAAGTTGTTGCAAGTTCTTTAATGGGTTGATTGGTTAATAGGTTAAGTTTGGGAGATTTTCATGTAGATACAAAAACGCTGTGAATGGAACTGGCATGTGAAGAATTTTGGCACTGGAAATTTTTCTGAAACAGATTCTGAGGTTTTTTTAATACGTCTTCGTGCTGCATCTGATACAATAAATAATGTTGCTCTGCACTTTTCAAATATTTGTGTAGTCATTTTTGCAGATGTTCTTCTCACACTCTAGATAGTGTAATGCCGACAGACTAGATGATACTGTCTCTGAGAATAATCAGGTGCTCACTCCTGGAAGGCCTTTGTATGTTCTGTGAGCATGTATAATCTTTCCACATCTTTCGTGAGTGGGTAGACGTTAATTTGACAGGCAATTTTTTCATGTGGACCAAAGCCCTATAGCATGCAGTGCCCTGCGAGCATAAATTATTCCAAAGCAGACTCATCTACCCACAATACAAGAAGCAGCAAAAGGTTCCCAAGTGCCTTTTATGACTTGTGATTAATGTTTAATGCATGATAGCATAATCTCGAGATTGAAGAGGAGCCCAACCATACGGAATTGTGATTAGCAACCAAGTTTAGTATGTAGAGGAATGCTTGGGCTGGCAGGAGATCAGGAGAAGTCTATGTAGGTTATCCCGTTCTTGTCCATTTCCTCGAAATATTTTATTTTCCATCATAGACCAGTATTGATGAAAGCTCTTTATACCCAGTTCTCAGTTTGATTATTTGGTAAAAATACTGTTGTATTTGGGGCTAACTTCAACATCCCCAGGTTAACTTCAATTATTGTTTTACTTTGTTTTTGTTGTCTGCTAAATTTATGAATGTTCTTTTTAGGATTGAATTGCTTTAGATATAATGCATAGTTACAAAAATTCTTATGTCATCTATGGTTGATTGTTCATATGGTAGATAAATTCCTATTTGATCTATGTGATCTTTGGTTGACTATTCATATGTTATATTTTTTGTGCTTTCTATTAATGTTGAGTAATTTTTGTTAGGCATAAATTAGTGAAAACTCTGAAAACAGCTTTGGAAGGCTCGCCTCCAAAGATTAAAGACAAAAAATCCAATAACCTTCCAAAAAAAGAATATGTAGTTGTGACTTGAGACTTTATGATGATTGTTATATAATTATTTTTTTTTGAGTGGGTATTATTGTATAGTTGCAATGACAATTTGAAATTGTGATCATAACATTTTTTGTTCATTTATATTCTTTGATAATTTTGCGTTTGTACACGTACAATTTAATGACAAAAATAATATTATTTTTGCATGATTTGATTTGAAAATTATATCTTTGAAAGTGAGTGTTCATTATGTTGTTTGTTTCCTCATTAAGTATTTATATATTGATTCATTAAATTATAACAGGTATGTGAAATTGGGAAATATTCAACAATATATTCTTTCAAATATGTGATAGTTTTTTTTTTCTGTTAATTTCAATGTATTAACCGCGACAATAAGTTGTCACTAAAAACATGTTCTAAATTTTAGTGGTGATTTTAGTTGTTGGTAAAATGTATATTTTTAGTCACGATTAATTGTTACCACTAAAAGTCAAGTTTTAATCGGACTTTTAGTGGTGACAAGGTACGTTTTAGTGACAAAATTATGGTAATTTACTACAATAATTATTGTGGTTAAATATTTCATATTTAGTGACATTTTTCATGTTGCGACAGAAAAATTTATTTTTAGTGGTAACAAATTAAATGTGTAGCTAAACGATTTAGCCACAGACATATAACCGCGGCTTAGTGGTAATAAAAAAATTGTCACTAAAATATATAGTAACAATTTTTATATATTTAGCTATAATAATTTTTGAGGCTAAAAGACCAATTTCTTGTAGTGGGAAGAGCTTGACAAAGCATCCCTGTCTTGGGTAGCAAAGTATCGTCTCAAGTATATCACTTCATTGCTTCTAGAAGCTCACGTGTGCTATAAATATGATTGTCTCTAACAACTATAAATTCTTTAATGATTCTAACAGATCAAGGTGACAAAACCCTCAAGAAAGAAGATAAAAAAATACCCTACAAAAACGGGATTGATCCCAACTTTTTGTAATTACCCTCCTCTTTCTCCTAAAAGCAATACAGCAAACACAAGAGCAAGTGATTTCTTGACATCGGACTAACCTAGTTATTCAGTTTGATGAATCACTCACACTGTTATTTATTTTCTTTATCCTATGGTTGATTTCACAAATGACACGCACATACAACTCTCCAATACACAAACCCCGCTTTCAGTCACTGTTTTCTTGCACCATCAATGTTAGACACAAAACCATTGTGATTTGGTAGAAGGGGGTAGTAGTTGAAGCAGTCCCGTTGTTATCGTAAATGTTTAATCTTTTGATTGTCCTTAACCAAAAGGCTAAACCATTCTTCTTACAATTCTTACCTCACATAGACTTTGTCAAAACCGAATATGAGATTGTATAATTACACTTTAGTACCATTTTCTTACATCATAAAGCATTAAGGCCTACTACCAGACAAAATAATCCAAATAACGAATCACATTAAGATAATAATTTTTTGATCTTATCCTCTCATTCTTTTCAACTGCTTCGATTTCGCCCTTTTTGTCGCCCCCTACGGTTTTGGAATAATATTATAAAATCGTCTAGTAATGGACAAATCATGTTGATACTCCGTAATAAATGGGTGTATGTATTAGCAGTCACTTAGTCACCTTTAATATTTTTAAATATTGGAGTGGTAATCTTGTGCCCAAACTCAACCCAAGCCTAACCCATAATGTTTTTTAATCTTAATTGAATTTGGGTAATTAAAACTTTGGGTTGACAAGTTCAACTCGAATTGAATCCAAATTTATGAAATCAGATTCAACTCAAAATTTCAAAAAAAAAAGTACAAACACATAATGTTAGGGCATGTTGAACATAAAATTGAACCTTATTTGATTAATGAAAAACTCGATTCAACCCAAATTTAACCAGAATTGTGTAATGCGAGCTCAACATGAGTTCAAAAATTTAATCATGATTAGCCTTCGGCTAAAATTACTTGAGTTGAGGTCAAATTGAGTTGGATTAGATAGAAATTTCGTTTCCTGAGTTGACCCTTTAATTCGTCCAATTCACCCCAATCGCACCCCTACAATCAAATATAAAAAATTGGCCGGCCTTAATAGAATTAGTAGAATGACTAGTTTGACCTCACTTCATTTAAGTAAAAGGTCAAATTGTGAAGAAAGAAAAATCCTAAAACATCCCTCTCCCTCTCTCTCTCTAAACGCTCCAATTGGGTCTCAAACTCTCCATGTTATTTGAAAAATATCGTTACAAACCCGTGTAATAAACTCATAAGTCAAGGGGTATCAACGTAGTTTATCCACAACTAATCTATACAAAGAAAATTGGAGCCCACATTTTTAGCATTTAATCTACCTTATCAATGAGATTTGTTCATGACTTCATATTTGCAGATAGAGAAAGATCATCTTTTTCCCTCACTGGCACTACAATAACAAATTTCAGCTGGCCGTAATTGTATGTTCTTAATTCCCTGCTACTGATCGCCAAAGAGCATGTTTTGGAGCACCTTTTGCTGTTCAAGCTACACTCTTGCATCTAGGTTTAGATTCAAAAGGTTGTGTGCTGAAATTGGAAATAAAATGTAGTTTTTTTTTTCCTCTTTGAAATTCTGTGTATAGAGTCAATAGCCTGCTGCTTTAGTGTTTGGGAAATGACAAATAAACTTGGCCTGCAGAGAGAGAGAGAGAGAGAGAGAGAGATTCATGGATTTGAAGCTAAGACCTAAGAGCTTGATAAATGGATGAAAGACCCTTTCAATAGTGCATGCCCCTCCCTATATATTGCACCATGAAATTGTATATTTCAGGGTTCCAGGTGCAATGGCCTGAAATGCGTAAGCCTGATACTGCCTGTCGTCACCTACCTCTAAAATACAATTTCTTCGTCTTTGACAGATAATGTTGCTAAGCAACTGCCAAGAGAGGGTGAAAAGAATTATCTCATCAACCGTTTGATCCCACACATTCAACATTTCAAATACAGCAAAGCCATCGATACTTTATGATTAATAGATACACACTTTCTCTTTATATATTCTTTATTGCCAGTGAGATTGCGACATGCAAATTGATTTTGATGCATCTGAGATCATAGCTTTCTGTATCATATATATAAGAAAAGAAGAGTTGGTTTTTATATTTTGCTTCTCTAAAGCCATCGGGCCGGATAATAGTATTTTTCAAGTGAATTAAATTCATTATTTATTTTTTGTGACACCTAGGTATGATGATGATATTTACAGCATGCAGATTGTGATGTCTATAACCATTAGACAGGATGCAAACAGAACGTTAGGTTTACTTAAAGACAAGTATAAGCTGCAAAATTCGAAAATATTTCTGCTAATTTTTCATCTCTTTGTAGGAAAGTTCCTATCTTTATCCATAGTGTTAATTAGGTAGCCCTTGGTTGTAGATGCAATATATGATTCATATATGCAACCGTTTTGTTTTCAAGTTAATTATATATATTAAGTCTTTGCGTTTGAAATAGGCGAATCATGATCACTCTACAGATATATGGTTCTACATTCAATGTGTACCTTCAGATATTTCTCTATCAAGTGCTGATAAAATTTAAAAACTTAAAAATGTGTAATATGGTTGATCTTTGTCAAAATATTGAAATTTGTATAAAATTAAAACGCGTTAAGACCCTTTTCGCGGCCATAAGGGAGCCAACAAGAACGTGACATGCAGTGATTGGCGGTCAAATTGACATGAGAGGAGCCAAGTAAGGAAAGATTTGCCTGGCATGGGTGACCTAACACAAAAACATATATTAATAGACAAACAGGCAGGAGGGGAGACAAATCCAGGGCCGTGTTAACAAAACCTCAATGAAAACTACATATGATCTGTTGAGAGACAAATTAGTAGGAAAATAAGGTATTATTTTATGTGTTTGATAAAGAGGGATCCACAAGAGCCGGCTAATGGAATGAGTCTATAAAGTCTTAAGACATTGTCTGAGCTATCTCCCTTCTCACATCTTCCCTCATGTGTTCACAATGGCATTGGCTATGCCCTTTTAATTCTCTCTTGCCTCTCACCCTCTTCTCATCTCCCTCTCTGTAACAGGATTCTATCTTAAAACATAACTATCAATTGGAAGTTTCGCCTCAGGTACAGTCACTACAGGTATGGAGTCCAATCATAAGGAAGATTCAATAAACTCAAGCGAAGAAGTTGATCGGCCGGAGCAAGAAAACAACGATGCAGGTGCAGGCCG